TCGGTTTGTACTTCTAATTCGTGACCGGCGTTTTGTTTTGTTCTCTCTCCGCATTTGTCACAAATCACTCAACGCCGACGTGCTGCGTCATCCGCCGGAACTGCTTCAGTGTATGACAGTCAGCGGAAGTGAGAGAAAAGTGTTAATTACGTTTGAAATATGGATATTTTTCTTACAAAAATGCATGGATTTGCTACAGAAGGTCTTTATTCATCCCCCGGAGCCGTCAGCGACACGTTTATTATGAAAGCGCAAGCTTTATTTGACGACTTGTGGACTGTTCAACTGCAACACCCGCTGACTGCAATGATAGAGCTTGGAATAGCCAGGACAATTTTTAATATAACTCCGACTGGATTCTTCTGAAAGAACTAATATATATTCATATTTAAGGATATAGATTTAATTAGATTTAATATAACTTTTAATTAAATATATGCATATGTATCCATTTCTTTGTTGCATCAGGAAGAACCCCATGTATTTACAGTACAACAACCATCAGAGGTAGAACATAATGGGTATGTAAATAAATCAGTTTAAATGATTAACGTGTAGATGAGAAATGCAAAATCCTTTTTTTTTTTTGGTTGTTGAAGTATAATCATTTCAAGTTTTCTGAACAATCCTGCATAATTTTTGATTGGAAGACACAGTATTTGCACTTTAAATAAAGCGTAAACTATATGCATCCGTAATACAAAGCAATATAACTTTTATAGGCGAGTGTAAGTAATAGAGAAGATCATAGTCAACATTTCACTTTTAGCATCTCATTCTCTCTGCAGTGATAGACTGCTAGTCATTCTGTACACATCCATGCAGGCAATATCGTGAGGACAGTACATCGGTTTCACCATAAATCATTTGTTTTGGCTGCAGATTTTAGCTACACTTGCAAATTTCGCAATATTTTGTTTTGGTTCACACTACAGTCTCCTGCAGAACCAGAACTTCATACCCCCTTAGCGTTCACTGGAGTGTTAAATTAGTTCCAGTAACATTTGTCAAATGCAATAAGGCATCTTTTTTTAACGCTGCACTGAATGTGAAATCTCTGTATCCACATTGACCTTTTCTCACTGAGACTGAAGATTCAGCTCGATAGATGTATAAACTATACACATTTTCAGAAACCAATAGTTTTTATAGGTTTTCAGTAACGTAATATGTGCTAATAATCAATAATGTGGCAGTAGAGCGTCCACAGAGCGCGTCACACTCTAAAGTCACAATGTACGAAATCTGAAACACTGCAAGACGTTCGTACTCCCATTCATTAAGTTTGAAGTAAAATAAATCAACTACAAATTAATTTGCCTTGAAATTTCTTTAAGTAGCTTTATCTGCATGAGTTCATTACAATCATAAAAGCTATTTGAGTTTTTTGTTTTTGAACGCTTTACTGATGATGTGACGCTTTTTTCTTTCAAAAGGCAAAAGTTCTATGACGTCACTAAAGTGATTTGCCTTTATTAGCCGCCGAGACATTGAGACGTGGTCACCACTACTCAACTGTAATGCAGTAGCATTGTGAGGTCACAGTTGTGATGTAGTAGCATTACACTGGGCAAAAGTGGGTATGCTGCGAGACCGTCTCATGACCAGACGGACCTCCACGTTAGGGAGACTGTCCTGTTTTATCTGGCTGCAACCCTCATCCGCTACAGCCATATGAAGGTTGAAACGCAGAGACACAGATTTCTTCCTCAGCTTGGGATTTCCTTTAAAGAATGACCCTTCCCATTGCCTGATGACCTTGTCAATCTTCTCTGTCCTATAGCACAAAAAAGCAAAGTAATAAGCATTAAAATTAGGATTACATAATCTCTGGTGCAAATAAATGATGATTTAAAAGTTCCATCACAATTGTATTGCCTGTGAAGCCACATGCAAGATCAAACACGTCAAGATCTTTGTCCTTAAGGTGTGAAGTGCTTATGGTTCTTCATTGCAGCTTGAAAATAAGTCTATGTAAACTCACTCCACATTTCCGTGACCCTCCGCACTCTCCCTCACTACATTTCCTTCCAGAATCTCCTGAGTCTTCACAGTACAGATCTCCCCATCTTTGTTTATGACTGGTTCTGGATGAGAAACACAAACACAACATCTCTCAGCCTCGCAGTTGTATAATGAACCAGTTGTTGAGAATGACTCTGGAAATCTGAAACAAGATGCACTCCAGTGCCTGTTTTAGGTTGGACAATGAGTTTGAGGGTGTTTTGACATCATCCTCACTTATGCTTATTTTTGGAGTCATCTCAGTGAAGAACGGCTCGGCGATATCCTCGTCACATCCGTTGTGCAGGCCGTTCTGCTCTGGAGCAGGAACTGAGCCCTTCCATGGCTTCAGCTTTAGAGGCCGACCATCTGAGTTCAGAAACCTGTGGTTCAGGAGTGAAAGAAGAAGCAGTTTTGATTCAAGACCACACTCAACTTTATTGGTGCCTTAGAAACCTCTTTGGGTTGATTGACTTTTTATAACATTAAGGGCACAATTCCAAAAACCCTGTCAAAATTCCAGTGTATTACATTGGAGTTGCATGAAAGACATCATACAAGTTTGAGCATGTGCTAACGGTTTTATTGCATAAACGAATACAGCTGAGCAAATCTATCTCTCCCCTACCTGCCCTCCTCATGTTCCAGGAGTTTCCTATAGGTTGCGATCTCTCTCTCCAGCCTCATCTTGGTGTTGAGGAGCTGGGTATGGTTCTGTTTCTGGACTTCCAGACCGTCCCGCACAGTTTCTAGCTCAGACTCCAGACTCCTGACAGACTGGGACAGATCCTTGAGCTGCACAGAGTACTGGAGCTGAGTGTGGTGTAGAGAGCTATGGAGACTCCTCTCCTGGTGGGATAAAACAGAATAGTTATTTATTACCAACATCTACACCCCTTTTACCAGCCTACACCCCGAGACACTGGGATAGGCTCCGGTATCCCCGTGTCTCTTTGTAGGACAATCTGCTTGGAGAATGGCTTAATGAATGGATGGATCTTCAGGGTTGGTGGAATGGAATAGGGTGGTCGGAAATTGTGAACAGTGACCAAAATATTACAGCGTCAAGCAACACAAGCAAGGCATCTCCCATTTAAGTTAAGTCACTTTAGTGCCAGTGCCACTTCATCCATACAATGCCACCATGTTTTACAGGGTCAGTCCCCCTGGACCAGCTGGGATTAGGTGCCTTGCTCAAGGGCACAATGATGATGGCTCATAAATTGCATCTTGCATTGTTTGATCCACTAACCTTTCTGTTATTGTCAATCACCCTGAAGGAACCTGGAGTTGAAAACCGTGGCACAATGGTGATGACTCAAGGATCATACATTGCAGAGATCAAAGCAACAATATTCCAGAAACTGAAAATAAACTTCCGGTTAAATCTGAGATTAAGAGGTTGGCTCAAGGGCACAATAGTAGTGGCATATGGATCATGCCTTGTGGGGCATCAAACTAGCAACCTTCTGATTAACAGACTTGAGTTTTAACCACGACACCACCACCGTAATGTATCTTGAGCAAGGACACAGTGGTCACTGGAAATCTCAATAATTCTACTGTTCATGAACTGTGGATCAAGTGGTAGAAGATGGCTCTACCAACACTAAGGACATGGATTAAATTCCCAGGGCTCAACTTGTATAACATGGCACCTTCAGTGGGGTTTGATCCCACAACCTTCAGATAACTAACCAAAATATTTAACAACAAAACTAGTATTCAGTAACAATTTGTGGTTATCCGCAGTATTTGATTTATAAATTATGAGGTCCCAGAACAAGGAGTGATGACAAATCTGGCAGGGATCTGTCGTCCATTTCCTGGAGGCGAAGTGTTGGTATATGTTTAACACTTAATCTACATTGCAAACAACTTGTTTAATTCACAAAAATGGAGGTTGAATCAGATTCTGGAAGTGCCGGTTTCAGATCTGGCTTGTTCTGGCAGGAATTAAGGTGTGCATATGCGTTATGCATCAGTAAGTGATATTCTAATTTGTGTATTGTGCATTAAGGTGAAATGGGCACAGGAGTGTGTGTGTGTTTAGGTGTGTCTACATGTTCCTGAATTGGATTGTGTGTATCTGGGTGTGTCTGTGGGCATGTCTGTGGGAACCGAACGCACCAAGGCATGTAGAGATTCAATTTCCACCTGTAGACGGTGCCATCTCTTTCGGGCCTCTGTGAGCTCGGCTCGTGCCTCTTTCAGGGCCTCGTCACCTGCTCTCACCTACACAAAAAACACAACACATGCAGTGTGTACATAAGAACGTCAGTTAGCACTGGTAACACAATAGATCACATTAAAGAAAACTGAATTGATGCTCTTGTGGTCTGACATGTATATCACAGTCTAGGAATCACTTTAGTCTCAATCTGATAAGAATGACTGCTCAGTTCCAAAGAAATGGAAAATTATATGCATGATTTCCAACTAGCTTGTTCCAAAAACAACATATAGTCTTATTCAATCTGAAATAATAAAAAAAAAAAACATGTTTTTGGACATGGTGCCATTGTACTGCCATGTTTTTGAAAGGTTTCATGTTAATACCATGTTTTTGGACGTGTACTATGGTGTTACCATGTTTTTCAGGAGATGATGTTCAGTGGTAATATTATGTGTTTTGAGACATGTACAATGGTAAAACCATGTTCAGTGGTGCCAGAATGTTTTTTGGACACCTACCAAGCACCTTGGAGCACCATTGTATTGAAACCCTCAATTTACCATTGTACCAGCACAGTAGGTATTTATAAAGACAAGCTGCAGTGTGTTGTTATTTTTCAAGGAGAGTTATGAGGCCGATGGCCCATGTTTTTGTGCGAGGGCATAAATTCTGCTCAAGCACACTGGAAGACAAATAAACAATCACCTACTAATGAGAACAGAAAAAAGACAATGGTTATGCTCAACAGGACTGACATCCCTCATTCTGTTTAGAATAATAATGGTTGCTTAGCAGTCTTTTCACTCACGCACACACACACTACGACCGCTCTGCAGTGCCCTGGCCAGCAGACCATAGAGAGTGTTTGAAGGAGAGAGAGAGCAAATACTCGTACCTGTGGCGGAAACGCAGCTTTGGGGCTGGTTGCATCCTTTTGGGGCCTTCTCTGTGAAGCGGGACCAGAGCCTGGGGCTGGATTTGGTGGCGTGGCTGAGTCGGGGCTGCTCTGGGCTGGGCTGGAGTGGTCGCACTGGGTGCTGGTCCGGGAGAGATCCATTCCTCTGCCATCCTCTCCTGCAGCAACCTGCAGTAGTACTCTATCACACTCCTCTACTGCTCGCCGCTGGTGCTGGTCCAGCTCTCTCTGTCAGCCAACGAGAGACAGAGAGAGAGGGGGTGGAAAACAAGAGGGAGGAAGAGGAGAATTTAAAGGGCTCCTCTCATGAGGAATTAAAATTTCCTTCATCTTTTGGGATATAAGAGTTCTTCCTGGGTCCAAAATGACAAAAACTTCTCATTCTGACATCTACAACCCAAAATAATTTGTCTGTCCTTTCATTTACTATTTGGCCTGTCCAGTCAGGGTGAGGTTATATAAACAGGATAGATATTGATAATGATAAAGATCCGTTTACAGCAATACTAAATGTTCGCTGCGAACAAGATTTATAATCGAAACAGTTCATTCTTATGGAGCTACTTATATTGGGGTGAAACTTTGTTACAGACAGATCAAAGTTTACGATTTCTTCGTACAAACTTAAAATGCAATAACTATGACAAGTGTGAGAACCAATATCAACTATAAAATTTGAAGTCTTTTTTTTTTCAGTTTAACTTTTGGTTTAGTATATACAGTATATTTTGTGTTGGGTGGCGACAGGCGCTTTTGGTCACATTTGTAACAATATTCAGCGTATTGGTTGCGTTAAAGCTATATGTTTGCTATTTGCATAGATAATAATTGTGCACAAATAAAAAGGACACAAGAAGTCCAAATAAATTGTATTATTGGCAAAATCAATAAACAAAATAATGTCTTATATAATTAAAGGTTGTGTAAGTTCAGATCCAACATTCCCTACACACACACACCCTTTCCACGAGGCTAACCGCAACTTGGCATTAAGACATTAGGGAACATTTTTAACAAGTGTTTTTTACTAAAGACAGACGTAAAGGTTTCTCTCGTCAAATGCTTATATATGACTGAGAGAACATCACACACACAGTGACACAAAATTGCACAATTATACACAATCACTAATTAACATTTAACAACAGTGTCTCCACCTCATGTTCCTCCACGATTTGCTGTAACTCATTTTGGTATTCATAAAGCTGTTTTTCCAGGAGAGTGTTGGATGTTTCCACGTCTATTTTCTTTATCTTCAGCTGTGACACCTCCTGCTCCTTTAGGAGACGGAGTTTCTTCTCGGTTTCACACCTACACACACATAGGCATGCTATGTATTTACTATTACATTTAGTATTTAGACATACTAAAGGATTCTTAATTCAGTTTATAAAAACATATGCTGACAGAAACACACTTACAATGAAAGCATACAAGGCAAACATTGATATAATTTTGTCAACACATTTTTTTTTTCACTTAAAAATGGGTTGTAATTATTTTCTGTGGTAATCAACTGAGTATTTAACCCAATTTCGCATTTAAACATATACTCTCAGTGCACACCCACTGTTATGATAAAAATGCAATAAACCAATCATATTGAACCAACAAGGCACTGACTTTCTAGGAAAATTAGACTTTTATAATCTGAGAACGTTCCACCTTATGTAATAGAGGATTATGTGTCATATTTGTTCATTTATTTCGCTTAATTCATTATCAAGAATTCACTGGCACTTCCAGGCACTTGCTGTTTCCCCCCACAAGAGGGCGATCAGATATTTAAATCACAATATTTTGTTCTTTTGAAGCGGAATATTCCATTGGCATGCATGGAATGCAGAATGTATTATGAATACTGTCCACAGTATGCACATTTTCTGACCTGTTACATTTGGACAAATTACAGAACACAGTGGGTTGAGTCGTGTATGTGTGTGTGTATATATATATATAATGTCATTAAGTAAAATAAATAAATAAACATATTTCATATTTCTTGTTTACTGAAAGTTTCTAACCTGGTCTTTAAATGTGCTGCCCTGAGTTTCACTGCATCGGATTGTAACAAAACTTCTGCATTTTCCATTATGATCATCCTAACCTGCCAAGACAAACATAAGAAAAGGAGAATTAGCAGAAAAAAAGACATAATCAAGATAAAGAACATTATAATTGCCCGTGGGTAGAAATTACTTTCTTGAGCAAATTAATCAAAATTATGAAAGAAAAAAAAAACTTATTAGGAATCTACAAGGCTCGTTGAAGATAAACGGCTGTCAACACCCATCTAATCATGGGAACGAAAAATCATTTCTGAATTCTCAGTGTGAAAGATCAGGGTGTATGTAGGTGTGCATCAACATGCTGTTTTTCTGGCTGTCTAGTTTATGCAAATACCACCACTAAAGGAAGTTATGAAGACTTAAATGGTGCCAGGATTTTTCACTTAATGTCTGTTGTGCACATTGCTCAATGCATTGATTGTATCTGAACAGATTAATTGTTTTTCCCCAGAGCACATAAAATAGCTAGCTATCTGTCACATAAAACAACACAAGTGGGCTTTAAACTGTTATCTGCATTTTTGCAAGTCTTTAAGCAGGCTACTATTACGATAGGGTCAAAGATCAAGCCAGATGTGAAAGCCGATCCTGAGGAACTAAAAGGATTAACAATCTTTTACAAGGTCAGTGTGGCCACAGGCGCCGGAACGGTTTTAGGAAGTACAGGTGTTAACAGCCCTCTGGAAATCAATTAAAATAAACCTGTTAGTCCCATAGAATTCAATTCACCAACCATGGTCCATTATTACATGCTGCACAGTTTACATACTGTATACTGCAAAAATAGTATGTGCAGTATGATAGTATGGGATTTTTAACATATCCTTAGTCTTAAATATATAGTGTGCCATCTAATTATTGTATGCATATTGTACCCAGTATACTGTACTTAGTGCATACTGCAAAATAATATTAATGAGTATGCAAAATAGCATGCAGTAGTATGCCATAGTTAACAAATCATTCATCTTAAATATAGAATGTTATGCAATTATTATAAGCAGCACTGTAGACAATACTGTATACTTCAAAAATAGTATGGCATTCTGAACACATCTTTAGTCTCAAATATAGCATGCCATCTAATGTCTGCATGCATATTGTACCCAGTATACTGTACATAGTGCATATTTCAAAATAGTATGAGTATGCAAAATAGTATGCAAAAAGAGTAGTATGCCATAAAGAACAAATAATTGATTCCTGAATATAGAATATCATGTTATTATTTACTATTGCAAAAATAGTATGAGCAGTATGGTATTCTGAACATTATATATATATATATATATATATATATATATAGCATGCATTCCGAATATTGGCATTAATCTACACAGTTAACATACTACATACTGCATAAATGAGTATGAGTAGTACAGTAATATGGTACTATGAACAAATCCTTAGACTCAGATATACAGTATGTCATCAATTGTATGCATACAGAATATTGACACACTCTACACAGTTAACATTAATTCTAAATTCCAATTAACATAAATATTATGAATAGTACACTATTATGTCATTCTGAACACTTAAATATATAGCACATCATCTAATTACAACCCAACAGCCTAAAACCTGGTCTTTGTCTTTGTTCAAAATAGCATATTAGCATACTATCCATACTATTTAAGCATAATTTAGTATGCATACTGTGGACAGTATGTGATTTTTATGTGACTATACTCAGATGACCTACTGAATATGTCAAAATGTGCAGTATATAACCAGAACTCCACAGGGTTTGTATATCCCACAATGCATTGCACTGGGCTTTAAATATTACCCATAATTCCTCTAGGTTGTTGACTTGATTAGACATTTTACAAAAACTAAAAATGCTAAAAAACCATATTGAATTTGTGCTTGAAACATTAATTTTAGCATAACGTACTTTTGCATACTAATTTTTAAACAGAATGCAGTTGCAGTCAGCAGTATGCTAGTATTCTGTTCTAAATGAAGCGTTTATCAACAGAACGACTTTCTAAAGGTTGGTGGACGGTTGAGTTTCTCTCAGCACAATATTAGCTTAGCACATTTTGACTGGCTGGCTGCCATTTTGATGATTCATGAGCCATTGTGACAGCATTACATCCAGTTAATCATTGTCATTGTCACTGTAAGTCACTCTCATATATAATGTATTTTAAGGGGATAAAATGAATTAGTAACGTTAATAATGAATGCTTATGTGTTTGTACAGCTAATGCTAATGCAAACTACTAGTCACAAAGACTCTGACAGGTCATATTGTGCTTTGGTTTTAGGCAATGTTCAGAATGAAATACTAACAGGTTGTATACAGCAAGATGTGCTAAAAATAGTATGCAAAGATAAACATGCTAATTTGCATGCTACATTGCTGTCAAATACAATTTTTCATCTCACTATCAATGTACTGCATGCTACAAAAAAGGCATGAGTAATGTGGTAATATGCCATTCATATTTTTAGTATCAAACATAAATATTATAACATATTTTTAGTATCAAACATTTTTGCCATCTAATTATCGTATGCATACAGAATATTGGCATACTGTGCACAGTTAACATACTGCATAATGTATAATTATTATGAGTAATACAGAAGTATGCCATTATGTCATCTGATTACTGCATGCATATATAGTAAAATACAGGCATTGTGAACCCAGTATACAGTACACAATGCATACTGCAAAAATAGAATGCTTAGTATGCCATTACAAACATATCCTTACTCTTCAATATACTGTCATGTAATTATTACATGCTACACAGTATACATACTGTATACTGCAAAAATAGTATTAGTATGTTAGTATGCCATTCCAAATAAATTCTTAGTGTCGAAAATAGAATGCCATCTAAATATTGACTGAATAACATTCAGTTAACATACTTCATAAATAGAATGAGTAGTAAAGAACAGTATACTCTGCATGCTGCAAAAGAATATTGGAAACAGTATTCAGAGTAGTGTGCAAAAAGAATAGTACGCCATAATGAACATATTCTTAATCTTGAATATTGCAATTGCAATTGTTACATGTTGCACAATATACCTACTGTATAAAGCAAAACTAGTATGGTAGTATGCCATTCCAATAATATTCTTAGTGTCAAATATAATATGTCACCTAATTATTGACTGAACACAGAATATTCAGTTTACATACTGCATAAATAGTTTGAGTAGTACAGAATAGTATACTTTACATACTGCAAAGAGTATTCAAAATAGTATGGAATATAATAGTATGCCATAACGAATACATTCTAAATCTTGAATATAGAATGAATATAGACTTATTACGTGCAGACTTATTAGTATGCATACTATATTCTAAAAATAGTATGAGCAGTATCGTAGTATGCCATTCCAAATATTCTTAGTATCATATACGGTATGCCATCTAATTATTGACCGAAACAATACTGCATAAATAGTATGAGTAGTACAGAACAGGATTTGCATAATGCAAAAGAGTATTGAAAATAGTATGCAAAAAGAATAGTATGCCATAACGAACATTCTTAAATATATAATGTCATTCATGCTGCACAATATGCATACTGTATACTAAAAATAGTGTGAGCAATATGGTAGTATGCCATTCCAAATATTCTTAGTATCATATATAGTATGTATCTAATTATTGAGTCAAACAGAATAGTCACACTGCATACTACATCAACAGTTTAAGTGTTACAGTATGGGTTTCTGTGCATACTGCAAAAGAGTATTGAAAACAGTATGCAAAAAGTATAGTAAGCCATAATGTACATATTCTCAATCTTGAATATAGAATGTCATGCAATCATTACATGCTGCATAGCATGCATACTGCAAAACGGTATGTGTAGAATGATAGTATACTATTCCAAACACATTCTTACTATCAAATACAGTAGTGACATAAATTTAACAAAGATTTAGGGCCCAGCCAACTCCTAGGGGCCATCGGAATTGTTAATTTTTGATGCCTCTTATCCAAGACACCTGATTTAACTCATTATCTGAAGCTCCATATCCAAGCTCCATGTCGAAATACTGAAACACCCAAAATGTGTAGTGGGGCCCCAGGGGCCGAATTGAGAAACACTACAGAAGATGATGCATCTGAGAAAAAAAAGAATACGCATTTAATGTCTTAATTAGGCTCATTACCCCAGAGCCAGTCTGAGGGTTTTTCAGGGTCACATGAAAAGCACCTCAGGATATCAAATGTAACGAGCCAGGCAAGATGCAGATAACAGGGCAGATAATGAGCGCGAACATCACCGACCCACCTGAGCTCGCAGTTCCTGTGTCAGCGCCTCCTTGTCGCTCCAGTCCCACCACAGAACAACGTTCCTCAATCTGCACTCTGCAATCTGCTCCTCCAGTTCACGATTGGTCCATTCCAACTGATTCACGTGCTCCAGGAACCCCTTCAGCCTTTCATTCAGGCCCCTCAGGGCAAATTTCGGCTCTTCGAGTCCCTCCATGGGGCCAGATGAAACTAAATGAACCAGAGCACGTCCTGCCACACCTAAGACAACCGGGTGTTTACAGAGTAAAGATTTTGCTTGAATACAACTGTCGACGTGGCTCCTACGGACAGGGATGAGGCCTTTCCCTGGCCCTTGGGGTACTGTGGGAGTGGAACAGGAGCGAGAGGCCCACCAGGGTCCTGCCGGCCTCGTGTGGAGGTGAAGAGCAAGAGGCCACTATATGTGTCACGGGTTTTGCTGGTGCTTTTGTGAACGCTGATCCTGGATTTGTGACAATTCACACATACACACACACACACACGGCACAGGTCAAAGTCCATTTATGTTTTACTGTTGTAAAGGTACAGTTTTGCATGCGTCTTTCTGTTTGCCCCAGCTTTTGTGGCTCATATTGCGTGCAGTTTGTTTGCGTTGCCGCAGGGTGTTTGCATATGCGTGTTTGTGTTCACTATTAGATTCTAGCATTTGGATCTTTTACCTAATCATTTTTTCTGTCTAGGTGAACTCATCTTCGGTACAGATCTGCCCTGTCGAGGCAAGTCTCAGACCTGTAGGGCATACTTACAAAATACAAACTGCTTTACACCTCGAGCTTTTCGCTAAAGCATTGCAGATTAACAAAAACATTTTGGCATTTATGTTAGAACAGAACTTAGCAGCCTCTGTGCAAAGGGGAATGTTGACTATGCATTATCAGATCTGGGCCAAATGCACAAATCTATGGTTTTACTATTGTAAATTGACACTTATTTATTTATTTATCCAGAGTTAAGTTTTACATTCAGTTTGTATCAATCTATATAAAAAAATTTAAATAATGTGTGTAGAATATGTGGTGTGTAGAATACGCATTGTGTTTTTTGCATCTCCAGGTAAAATAAATGAATAAGGTATATGAATAATGCAGTGCTAATTGACATAGGGCCTATCATGTATTACAGTATAGAAACTATAAAATATATTTTCTGCATTATTCTGTGATAAAAATGGAAAAAAGTGTTTGTAGTATATAAACCAATCATAAAATTGACATTAGGAAATTATAGGGGAAAAAATATTATAGAACAAATTATTGGTTATTGTCCAACAGTGTAAGCTATTTGATTTCTTAGCCAATTAAAAATAAGAGATAAGAAAAAAACATTTTTGTCTTCTGAAATGATGGCTATATCCCTGTTTAAATATATAATACATACTTTATATAAAACAGTATAAAATATATGAGTATACACACTGTATCTCCTATGGTTTTCTACATATACAGTTTTATATTTTGTTATTATAATTAATGTTATATTGTTGTTTTTATTATTATTATAATGCAAATTAAATTTGAATGAAAGTGTACAAAATATAAATATAAATGAATAGAAATATTATGTTCAATTTTTATACATTCAATTGGACAAATTCTAGCATTTATAATTAATATTTAATATAAAAATTATAAAATATATGAATAAATAAATATGAATATTCTGTATTTTATATATATATATATATATATATATATATATATAT